CCATGTGGATGAGTCACGGCCATTGCTTGGCCAATGTGCTCTCTGTGAAAGCCTGAGAGAGTGTCTTCTCCCCATGTGACTCTCCTTGGGCACACTCTACGTCATCGATCACTTTCCTCTTTGGCCCCCAATGCTTTTTCAGAGTCCTGCTGAGTTGCTAAATTGCCCAGGTTGGGTCTGCCCACCAGCACTGGGATGACAGGCATGGTCTGGTACTCCGTGCTGGTGGGACATGAATCTCCGAAATGTTCTTTCAGCCTTGAAGAAAGCAATTAAAGACCGCGGTGGCTTCCTGAGCAGAGTCGGCAGCCTGCTGCCCGTCAGGATCCTGTCCTTCGTGATGCTGCCCTGCACGCTGCCAGTGGAGTCCACGATCGCTGCCGTCCACAGGTGAGCTCCATGCGCTGCTTGCCGCTCCCTCGGGCTGGGTGGGGGTCCGGGAACAGGCAGCTGGAAGGGCTCAGGCGGGGGCCTGGCATACAGGCAGCAGGTACCCTCAGGTCCTCAGAGCCACCGGCGACTGGCGAGGGCAGTGGCCACACACAGCATTTCATGATCTTCAGGGAAACTGAGGCCTGGAGAGGTTGAGGTCCAAGCTCTGCAGTCCCAAGCTGACAAGAACAAAGCCCAGATCAAGTTCAGGGGCTGGTCCATGCTAGGCTAGCTCTTGGCTACAGGGCCACATCCCTGGCTCTGTTTTTTGTTTTTTTTTTAATTTTATTTATTTGTGTGTGTGTGTGTGTGTGTGTGTGTGTGTGTGTGTGTGTGTCCAGCTCAGCCCACCAGGGGGCGGGGCTGGCTGGCGTGTGGTGCTGGGGGATTGAACTGCGGTCTCTGTGCTTTGCTAAGCTTGTTCTAAGTAGGTGCGTTAGACCACTGAGCCATCTCCCCAGCCCCTCTGGCTCTGTTTTGAGGCAGCGTCTCACTATACAGTAGACGCTGGTCTTGCACTCACAGTGATCCTCCTTCGTCAGCCTCCCGAGTGCCGGGATTCCAGGTACAGGCACGCGCCACCATACCTGGCTCCCCTTTTTTTTAGCAAGTAAATCCAGTGTGTTGCCGGGCATGCTGGCACGCACCTCTAATCCCGGCTATTTGAGAGGTTGAGACAAGAGATCTCAAGTTTAAGACCAACCTGGGCAGCTCAGCAAGACTCTATCTCAAAAAGAAAAAAGAAAAACCAAAAAAGGGCTGCTGAGATGTAGCTCAGTTGTAGTGTGTTTTGTGCCCGATCTCCAATACCGAAAGTCATCATCGCCATCCTCATCTCGCGTGTCCTGTCCCCCTGCACATCCTTGCTGAGCGCCCCAGGCTCTGTCTGTATCCCCCCAGGACCCGCCACTTCCTCCGTACACCACCCTTGCTCTGCATTATCAGTGCCCGTGGCAGAGCTTCTCTGTGTCTGGGGACAGGGAGTCTGTGGGGGCCATGCCCCCACCCCGGCCCCCCAGCAGCCTTGCACGGGATCAGTGGGGTATCTGACCCAGACGCTCCCCATGGAGCCAGGTGACATGGACATGGAAAGTCAAGACCTTTCCCTTTTGTTGCCTTGACGCCCCTCTAGCCGTCTGGAGCCACATGCAGCCTCACTTTGCTTTAGGGACACAGCTGGGCTCATCTTGCAGAGCACCCCAAATCCACCTTCTGGGAGCATGTTGTTTTGGGCAAGGGGGGTCACAGGCAGCTCCCCTGGCCCGAGGGTGTCCTGCAAGGTGGCTGCTTTGGGTTTACTTTTTGCTTTACTCCTCTTCATTGGGGTGTGCGCACACGCGTGAGTGGTCATCTTGGTTTTGCTCCTGCAGACTGGTGATGTGGCTCCCACACATCCCTGATGACGTCCAGTGGCTGCAGTGGTTGATGTCTCAGGTCTATGCCCGTGTGACGACGTGTCTGCTCCCCACTTCCAGGTGAATACTGTGGGTGTGAGGGCCCCCGAGGGACACCTCTGCACCCTGTATGGCCTCAGGTAGTCTCTAGAAATCAGAGAGGCACGGGTGTATCTGGCAATGCATATAAGCTGGGCTACCTGCCTGTCCCTCTGGCCCCAGGAGGGTGCCTTTGGTGTAGGGGATGGGGTGTTGGCGCTGCTGTTATTGGCAGACATGGGACCATTGGGAAGTAGGGGGCACAAGGGCCTAGATCCCTGGGAAGGTGACTGTGGGACCATGGTGATACAGGGACGTGAAATTCCCAACCTGGCCTGGATGAGTTCGTGTTCTCTAAAACCGAAGAATGACTTTTAGGAACAAACGGAGGTTGAGGGTAAAACTTTATTGGAAAGAAAAGCTTCTGTCGGAGAGGGACAGAAGGGGGGCCCGAGCGGATTGCCCAGGAAGCTGCCCCTTCCAGGTTACCTTTATAGCGCAAAGCCATGCGGGGCTGAGGTAGAGACAAAGGGGTCTCACTTAGGCAGATGCAGGGTGGGACTAAACTATGGTCAGCGAATGGGATTACAAGCACCATTTGCTCAGGTAAGATTGATTAGGCCCAGGACCAAATGGGGTAGCGAGTCACGTAGCAAGCAGCCATGAATGTAAAACAGGACCTTATTGGGGGGCCTTTGGATCATAATTCCTGAGCAATGATCAATCCTGGATGCCAGTCTTTAGGTTCGATTTACAGCAGGCGCCTCCATCCTTCCCACAGGTGTGAGGTGCCTGGCTGTTGTCCTTTCCCTCAAGGGCCTGACCCTGTCTGACTGCCTAAAATTTTCTGTCTAACTCGGCTGCCTGCAACAATGGGTGGGCAGACCCACGGGCCAGGCAAGAGGAGCGGGGCCAGTCTCAGCAGAATCTGTGGGACCACAAGGCTGCCTGCTGTGCCTCGTTAGGGGACGGCAATACTAGGTGGCAGTGCTAGGGCACTGGTGGGCACTAGCCCTGTTGGGGACTCGAGTGACACCTGTTATGGCCACTGAGAGGTGTCTGGAGGCAAGATTACTGTGGCTCTGGGTGGGGCCCCCTGCCATGCCATGTGTGATGACACAGGCCACATGACTGAGCTCCCAGGAGTCCTGGGAAAGACCACCAAGCCAGCCTCCTTGTTTGTTTCAGGTCCCAGATGTCAGGGAGCAGCCAGCGCGCTTCCATTTGCACCCGGGAAGGTGGCTCTGCAGGATCCTAGACCGCGGTTGGCCAGGAAGGGGCGCCCCAGCCTGGGTTCAGCCACCCCCTCCACTGGACAGCATCTGTGGGGAGAGGGTATCACCTTCCGTGCTTCCCCAGAAAGGGATTTTGGGGTCACCTGAGGAGGCCTCTAGGGAACCCTTCCTGAGGGGCTGCACCTTCTCATTGTGGTGCAGCTCTCGGTGAGCCCAGGGCCCCGCCTCTTTGCTAAATTTATTCCTTATGCAAAGGCGACGTCTTTGTTGTGGGCAGCTGGGAATCTGCTCGTGCAGCCCTAATATTCAAGCATCTGTTGGCTCTCCTGGTTGGGCAGTGTCACCAGGAAGCCCGGCACGGGGCTCTGACGGCCGACTGCGTCTCACAGCCTGCTCATGGCGGCCCCAGTGCCCAGGACAGCGGGGCCCATGAGCCCTGCGCTCACTCAGGCAGCCAGCAGAAAAGGGGACTGGGTGTGGTCATCCCCACCGAGGCCCCTCCTGTCCTTGGCCTTAAGATGACAACTTATCTATGTCCCCAGCACCCCTCTGATCTAGCTAAAATACTTCCTAAGTTTTTTTAAAACCACGTAAGGGAATGGCTGGTGAAGTGTGAAATTTCACAAATTCATGAGATCTTTGAAGAGCACAAAGATGAAACCTAAGAGGAGGGTAGTGGCAGGCACCCTGGCCCAACCCGGGCAGGAGCCAAATAGCATAAATAACTCCCCTTCTTTCTCTCTGCCAGAGTCATTGCCGGCTTCCAATCGGGTTCTTTTCTGTCCGCGTCTCCCCGTCCCGTGGTCCCCCACTCTGCCAGCCTTAATGGAACCACACGCTTGAGGCGGGGACCCCCCCTTCTTCTCAGGTGCAGGAACACATTTGAGTGCAGCCACAAAAAACGACCCGCTCAGATTCCTTCACGCTGGCAGAGAGTTAAACACACACGGGCTATGCCAGCAAGCAAAGCCCAGCTGCAGGTGCCGTCACACACTTCTTAGCATGAGCCCTGGAAGAGAGGATGTGGCCCGCCCGAGATCCTCGCGACAGTGGGCTTGAACCCAGCCCCTGAGACTTGCTTCATAAGTGAGGGAGGGGCCAAGGCGAGGGGCACTCTCCCCACCACCTGTGCCAGACCTGGGCCCTGGCTGTGGCCGTAGGAGAGCGGGCATGGGCTGGCAGAGGCCTCTTCCAACATCCATGTGACCAGCCCTTGCCCTTTGCCAAGTTTCCCCCAGCGCTTGTGAGAGCCGCTGAGGGGCGGGCCCCTCGCACTGGCAGACCTAGCCTGGCCTGAGCACTATTTAAGTTGGAACTCGGTCGCATACACTGGCTTTGGATTATCAGAAAAGGCTCCCAGGGCCAACCAGATTTCATGCTTGTTTCTACACACTTTTTCCTTTTTTTCCCCCCACGCTTTTATTATATCTAGTATTTATTTTCTCTTAAATAACAGGCTAGAACCCACAGCCTTTGAACTAAGCTACATCCCCAACTCTACTTTTATTTATTCTGAGCTGAGATCTCACTAAATTGCCTACACTGGGCTCAAACTCGGAGTCCTCCTGCTTCAGCCTTCCAGAGTACCAGAATGACAGGCGCGCATCGCTCTGTCCAGGTAGAATCTTTTTTTTTTTTTTTTTAAATTTCTGGGCTCAAACCCAGGGCCTCCAACGTGCTAGGCACGTGCTCTGCTGCTGAGCTCTGCCCAGGCCTCCTGCCTCTGCCCGTGCCTTAGGTGCTGCCCAGCCCACCCAGAAGATCCCTCAGCGCTCGAAGCATTTCTAACTCCCTCCTATCCTCAAGCAGAGCCCTCTGTTCGCTGGGCTGTGAATACTGCGCTCAGGATGGGACATTCAGTGTCAGGGAACATCTTTATTTGGTAAACAGCAAAACCTGGTGCGGAAAATGAGCCCAATGTTGTTTTTTGAATGTGTGTCTCTGTATTAGAGGACTGAGAGGATGTTTAACGCTTACCAATTTACTGTTACCTGTGATACATTGTTTGTTGGGCTTTTTCAGATTTCTTTGCTGAACAACATGTATTTCTTTCAGCAACAGAAAATGGTTCATAAGAGACGTGACTTTTAAAATGCGTTGCCCTGACTCTGCCTTCTGCCTGGGAACATAGCGCCGTTCTTCCCTCTCTCAGCTGTGCTCCTCATGACGGCACTTCCCCCAAGCCCACGCTTCTGTCCCCGCATGGCCCTGCCTCACCAGGCACCTCTCTGCTACAGCGAACCCTTTCCCAAGTGCTGGAGATCAAATCCCTTGGACTGCTTGCCTCCCTCTGGGCCCTGACGCCCCCAAGGCTAAGCGAGCCTGCCAGGTGCAAAGTGTGTGGCCCTTCCTCGGAGGCCCCCAACTTCCAGCCCCCAAAGCCCATAACCATGGATTTAGGAAGTGCCCTTCCCCACCCTGCTGGCTCCAGCTCTGCCTCCACTTAGCGTCTGGAATCTGGCCAGGCCCTGCTTCTAGCCGGGGTGCTGAACAGCTTCCTCCTGGGGTCTCACACCTGTTCTGCACCTCCAGCTCACTTCAGAGCCCCCCTGTGTCCTCCTCCTCACTGTGCTCTCATTCCCACCCCTAGCCGCCTCCCTGTGTGGGGTCCAGACTCAGCAGCCCTGCAAACCCAGCTGCAGCTCAGAGCTTATCTCTGCGCACCCTCACCCCACTTCCCACCACAGCCCTTCTCTAACTCCACTCCCCAGATGTTGGGAGTGTTGGAGACAAACAGGTGGAGGACCCAGGGGCCTGTGGCAGGGAGCATCCCAAACTAACAAGTAAGTGGGTGATTCCCATGGCAATTCCCAGCCTCCCCATTCCAGGCCAGCAAGACTTGGGGCTTGATTTCATCAGAGAACCACTATAGCTAGTGACTGCATTTCTACCTCTGATTGGACCAAACAGCACTCAGACAAAATATTACCAGAGCAGGGGCCTGTCCAGGTTCTTGTTGTTCTGGACACCAGGTATAGGGAAGAACATCCACAAGGAGTAGTGACATGGAAGAGTTCTTGGAAATGAAAGGACACTCCACAGGGTGGCCATGGGCCAGCAAGAAGAGCTCAAGGCACCAAGGGGGCCTGGATAGGACTAAGGAGATGGTCTGAGTCCTGCCCATGAGCACTCGGCTCAGCCCCTCCATCCAGAGGTGGTGTCTGACATTCTGTGGCCCTTGGAGGAACTGTGATGGCCAATGCCCACGAGGGTCAAACCTGCAGTCAACCACGTGGTAATTGGGGTGGGTGGGCCAAAGGCTGCGGAAGCGCCCAGGCCCATGCCTGGATTAACGGTGTCTAAACTAGGTTAAGATGGTGGTTCTACTTTGTCTTGTATTTTGAGGCAGAGAGCCTGGCTCTGGACTAATGTTTAACTCAGAGGGTAGATCTAGCCCAGAAAGCCCTGGGAGGCCGACCCTCCCTTTTTCCTCCTGCCGTTTCCTTAGTTGCCTCCTGCCTCAACTTCTGGCTCCCTGGCCCTGAACTAAGTTTTCTGGGAGGTGGGTGGCCTTGCAGATGTTACTCAGTGACTGTCAGGAGAGGCTGGGTATGCTGTGTTGACCTGTCCCTGCACACCTGTCCCACATGGTTGCTCTAAGACGCAGCCTGCAGCCAATCCACCCTCCTACGACTGCAGAAGACAGCCATGGCAGGGCAGAAGGACACGGGTCTTACGGGTCTGCACCTGCAAGTGACATGTATCCCTCTGCTTGCCCTGCGTGCCAGCAAGTCGTATGGCGGGGGCGGGGAAATGCCATTCTACCAAGGAACAAAAAGAGGATCACAAGAAATTCTTGTGGAGGGCACCTTGGGAGGCCACCGAGAAGCTACCAAGGAACCAAAACAGTCTGGGTGTGGCAATGCACACAGGCATCACCAGCTGGTCAAGCTGAGGCAGGAGGTTAACAAGCTCAAGCTGAGCCATCACAAGATCCTGTCGCCATCACAAGATCCTGTCTCGTTGGGTGGGGTGGTGCACACCTACAATCAGGAGGCTGAGGCAGGAGGATCATTTCTAGTTTGAGACCAGCATGGGCTACAAAGCAAGCTCAAGGCCAGCCTGAATTGCATAGCAAGATCCTGTCTCAAACAGACAAAAACTAAGTAATAGAAGATCCTGTCTCAAATGAAAACAATGAAGGGAGGTGCTGGGGAGGTAACTCAGCACTCCCTGAGTCTAATCTCCAGTGCTGCAAAAAAACAAAAAAAAACAAAAACAAAAAAACCCAAATCCCTACAGTCTCTCTAACCCAATAAATCCAGGAACTTCAGGGTTTCGGTAGATCTGCAAGCCTCTGTTATCTTCATCATCAGAAACAGCCCAGCAGTTTGTCTTGAGGGTGCAGTACATGAGCCTGGCCAAGGGCTTTGCACACACACAACATATATTTAGCTTGTGCAACATGGCAGGGCGCGTTCATCCTCTTCTGGAAGTGGCGTGCTCAGGAAAGATGGGGGAGGACATGCAGGACGAGGTGCTTGTGTGGAGAAAGTCACGCCTATCCCATGATCACAGGGTGCCAGGCTCACTAGCTTGACCTCATGAAACCCTCTAACATTGAGCATTAAAAACCATTACGGCCAGGGAGATGGCTCAGTAGAATAAGCACTTCCCTGGCAAGAGCAAAGGTTAAGTTCAATCCCTGGTTCCACCAAAACAACAACAACAACAACAACAAAACCCACCATTGTTCCTAGTTTACAGGTGAGAAAATTCCAATGAGTCCACTTATGGCTTGTGTTGAGAGTGTACATTCTACCTCCTAAATCCTCTTTGCTAATCTCTGTCACATGTTCCCACTGACACAGCCTTTGGCCTGCACTGGGGTCAGCAAGGCCCGGATGCCTCAGCTTGGTGGCCGAGGGGCCCAGGAGGTGGGCCGGTGGGTGCTGACCCCGAGGAAGGGGGCCGTCTTGCAGAATTGGCTACAAAGTGGCATGGGGTTGGAGCTGCCCAGAGGCCGGCTCTTGCCTCATTGCCAGTGATGCGAAGGCCAGACGCGGTCCTGCCACGCAACAGCCACGAGCATTTTGAGGCCCCTCCTGCACACAGAGTTGGCGCTGTCCCATGTTCTGGTTCCCACGATGCTCCTTTAAGACTGCTAGCAGAGGGAGAGCGGCCTGGCGCGGTTTCTGAGCCCTCACCTACCTTCCCTCTCGGCCTAGTCCCCGAGACACGTGGGTATCATTAAGAGAGACTGCCTCAGACACGCCTGGGTCGGTGTCACCTCTGACATGCAAGCCGTGGGACTGAAAGGACGTTACTCACTGTCTCTGGGTCTGTTTCCTCCCTCCTTTGAGGCCTCCACTTTACGGTGGTAAATCAGCCCGATTAAAAGCCCTGGGCGGGGCCTGGCTAAATTACAGAAACTGTGAATCCCACCTTCAAAGTCCCCCCACCAGCTAAGTGCTGCAATTACCCCAGCATAAAAATCAGGAAACGCCGACCCAGAGAGACAGGATCGGGAGGGTCCTCGGTAACCTAATCCCGTTATTTTCTGGCCCAGAAAACCGGTCTCAGTCATTGAATGCAGCTGAGCTAGACTTTTAGCCTGGGCCAAGTCTCGTCTCTCATCCTTGCGACCTTCTAAGTCCACCTGGGAAGCAGATGTGACCACCGTCTTCATTTCCGCGTCCTGCTGCATTCCAAGGCGAACCTCAACTCCCGCAGGTGCCAATGCCAGGCGTCCGGCTTGGCAAACTCTAACACAGACCACGGACCAACAGCTCTGCAGGCGTCGCTGGGCGCTTTGCGCTTGCGCAGTCTGCCCCATAGCCGCGTCAACATCCGGGTTACAGACTCCTGAAACCCAATGAGCGAAGGCAGCGCGAGTCAGGGGGCGGGACATACACGGGCAACATGGCTGCCCCCAGCGCGCCGCTTCCGGGGGGAGGGCTTGTGGGAGTAGCCCTGACCCGCCGCTGTGCCGCCGCGCGCCGCTGCCCTCCCTCACCAGCAGAGTCTCGGTCGCGCTCGGGTAGCTCTGCAAGGCGGCGGCTGCAGAGGGAGCCATGGGGACTGTGCACGCCCGGGTAAGAGGTCCGCCGACTCGCGGGCTGCGCGACCGCTGGCCGGCTGGCGTCGCGGCGGGGAGACGCGCTCGTGCGTGAGGGGGTCCGCGTGAGAGGGCCGCGAGGCGACCGGGCGAGTGCGGGGGGCCGCCGACCGCGGGGCGGGAGGGTCGTGGCTCTCAAGGTCACTCCGCGAGTGCGCGCCCCAGAAGGGACTGACTGCCCGGGACGTCCCCCGCTGGCCCGGGCGCCTGCCGCTCCAGGCTGCCGCGCGTCCGCCGTGCAAGCCGGAGGGAGCAAACGCAGTCCGGCGCGCTGAGGTGCCTGCTGGGTGCAGGCTGAGGCGCGCGATGGACGGCCCGGAGCCTGGAGTTGGGCTGCGTGGGCGAAAGCTCGCTGGGGAAAGTTTCGGGCCGCGCTGTGTGTCGCACAGCGAGCGGGGACGCGCTCCCGGGGGACTCCCCGGCCTTCTCCCCCTTCGGCGTTGTGGGAAGGCCAAGTCACTTTGGGCCTGGGAGGATGCAGCGGAGCGCGGGTGACTCCGTCCGGGCTTGGCCTGTTGAGCTTCGCGCAGGAGCTCGGGCATACCCACAGCCCGCCTCGGGTCTGTTCACGGTGCGAACGAGGCTGCCTCGCTTTCCAAGCTGCTGCTTTGTTGGTAATTTTTTTAATTGGGAAACGAACTCAGGACTTTGCCCTTGCCAGGCAGGCGCTTGGGCTGCTGAGCTGTCTCCCTCGCCCTTTTTTGTAATCTTAACTGAGGACCAGAGAATGAGTCATTTGTCCAGGGTGATACCGAGCTGCAGAATGTCCCACACCGCAGGGTCTTGGTCTTAACACTACTTTTCTGTTACAAGGTGAACTGCCTCATGTGTCCTGCTCAGTTTTCAGTAGAGCCCTTCTCCTCTCCTCAACTTCCAAAAGAATTTGGAAGCTGGCTTCTTTTCGAAATGAACCCAGTCCCCTTTCAGCTGTTTTTCTAGGGGAGGGTTTTTTTTGTTTGTTTGTTTGTTTGTTTTTGTTTTTGTTTTTGGTGCCAAGGACCAAACCCAGGGCTTCCAGCTTGCTAGGCAATCGTTCTACCGCTGAGCCAAATCCCCAGCCCCTCACCTGTCTTTCAAGCCAACAAGCTCCCTTGCTCTTCTGCCACAGTTTTTGGACTGTGCTGTGGGTGTTCATTCTCTGTCCACCAGCCGCATCCATTAGAACTCAGTTGAGGTTGCTTCCTGCAGAAACTGCCTCTTTATCACTTGTTTAATATACTAACAGTGTTTCCCATTTTTTAGTTTTTTATATACCACTATTCAGTGTTTCCAATGTTCTGATTAGGAATCACTAAAAAAAATTGGCCTTTGTTATCTAGGGGTGTGTGTGTGTGTGTGTGTGTGTGTGTGTGTGTGTTTAAGGCAGAGTCACTTTGTAGCTCAGGTGGACCTCAGAACTTTAAAGTGATTCTCCTGTCTCAGCCTCCCAAGTGCTAGAATCACAGCTGTGTGCCACCACGCCCAGCAGTCACCTGGCATGGACATGCATATGTGAAATAAAAGTTTTGTGAAACAGTGTTTATCTTTACTTCCTATCGTGGACTGCTATATTTTATATTTGACTCTAGTCATTTCATTTTCTTTTTATGTGTTTGGTACAAGGTCTCACTACAAAACTCAGACGAGTAGCGATCTTCTTGTCTCAGCTTCCTCAGTGTTGGGATTACAGGCATGTGCCACCATGCCTGTACTTGGGTCCTGCTCAATGTGCCTGGGGGCAGGGCCAGCATGGCATGTGCCAGGGATCGAACCCTAGTTCCTGCACTAGGTGGCCGTAGCAGGTGCTTAGTCCACTGAACTATCTCACCAGCTCTATCTGGTCATCTCACTTTATTTTTTTATTATTTTTTTATTCATTTTAATAAGAAATAGCAATGAAACAGTTTCAAAACAGGTTAGTAGGAGAGCTGGGGAGATGGCTCAGTAGGATAAGCGCTTGACTGGCAAATGCAAGGATCTGAGTTCAATCCTCGGTTCCGCCAAAAAAAAAAACAAAAAAAAAAACAGGTTAGTGGGGCTATTACAATAATTAATATATTACATATTGTCTTCGTAGTAGTTATTCAGAGAATAAGATGCAAATGTGATATCTTGTCTAAATAACGTTAGTACAAGCCTTTCTTCCCATTGAATTAAGAGAAAGTAACTGTATAGCTATAAAAACTTGTATGTATGTATGTATTTATTTATTTATTTATTTGGTACAAGGTCTCACTGTGCAGCTCAGACTTGGAGTTAGCATGGCTCATGGTACAGGGATTGAACCTGGGTCCTTGCGCTTGCCAGGCAGGCACTTAGACTCTGAGCTATCTCCCCTGCCCTCATCTCACTTTAAAGATGCTGATCATAGCTCATTAAATTTATCTCATATCCTGTCCCCACTGCTTTGCACAGAAGATGTGTTCTGGTTTGTGTCTAGATGTACCACCGCCCCCCATAGCCTCACGCAATCACTGGGTTGGCTTTCTAGAGTTTGTGATTAATTCCGGGTCCAGTGCAGGGATTATGGGTTTGAGTGGTGCCCCGCCCTGGGGCACATGGCCTGAAGGCAGTAGGAGGAAGCTTGAGACGCTTGCCTCCTGGCTGCTCTGCCACTGCTCCTCCCTTTTGGCTCTTGCTGTTTTACTGTTTTCTGCCACCAGGAATGAGTAGGGACTGAAACCTCCACAAACAGTTAGCTAAATAAATAAACCTTTCCTTCCTTCATTTTGAGTGTCCAGTATTTTGTTCCAGCAACGAGAGAAAAGTAGCCGAGACAAGATGGTTCATGGAAATCAGTAAGAACTTGAAGCTGGACGTGGGGTGCTCACCTGTAATCCTGGCTGAGGCAGGAGGATTGCAAGTTTGATCCTCAGCCTGGGCGGTTTAGCAACTTCATGAGACCCTGTCTAAAAGGAGAAGGAGCTGGAACTGTAGCTCAGCCTGAAGGCTCTGGGTTCGTTCCCTGCTACTGCGAAACAGAGCTTCGCAGTTGAGTATCGACTGACTGCAGACTGATGTGCTTCAAGGTTAACAGCTAGATCCACATATTTATTTTAATTCTTTTTCCAAATATTTATCCCATGCCTGTTCTTCCAGACACTGGAATGTAAAGCCTGTGAGGGTTTTAATAAGTATTTGTCACAGAGCAGGCTCTTAATCACTTACCTGTTTACCCCGAGCACACTTGGGCATGCGTTTGTGTACATACTGACTGTTCTGATGCTTGGGCAGGGGTCATTTCACCGGGTGATTTTTGTACCAAAGCAGTTTGATAAAATTGTTGATTCTGATACTTTCTGTTATTGTTATCTTATAAAGTCAATGGAACATGCAGTTTCTCGCTCATCCTATATTTAAATAATTAGACTGGTAGGTGGTTAGTAATATGTAAGCACTAACTAAATCTCCCTTAGTAGGAGGCAGCTCAGCACACCTGCTCTGGGGAGCCGCCCCACTGCGGCGGCGGCTCAAGCTTGCCGTCTGCAGCCCAGTGTAGACGGCGCAGCCAAGTCTGGCAGGTGTTTGGTGAATCTCATTCCAGGCTTGGAGACTTCAGGAAAGGCACTGGGGATTCTTCAGCATGATGGAATGTGAGCGCCATGTCCGAGCAAAGCGCGCGCAAAGCGTCTTGACTAAGCATCTGCACACACTCTTAATTTGCTTGTATTTTAGACAGATCAACAACGATTCGTCTTTTAAGTGTTACACTATAAAATGAAATAATAAAGATATAGAATTATACATTCTTTGCTCATTGTTAGCTTCATTTTCTAAAGTTTAAATAAAATTCAGCCTACACTACGAGGAGCATTGTGGTGGCGTTTGCTGCTGCGAGCTCAGTCTTCAGCATGCAGAGCGCACTTAGGACATGTTTGTTAAGTAAAGGGACAAGAGAATATTTATTCCTTTACTACAGCAGCTTTCCTGTCCCTGGGATAAGACACCCCGCACACACAATTTAAAACTTTGAGGACAGGTTTGCCTGGTGTGGTGGGAGAGGCCGAAGCAGGGGGATTGTTGTGCGTTTGAGACCAGCCTGGGCTACACAGTGAGCTCAAGGCCACCCTGAGCTGCATGGTGAGACCCTATCTCAAAAAGACAAGAAAAAGAAACAACAAAAAACAAGAGGACAGGTTTACCTTGGCTCACGGTTTCAGTTCGGTCCGTGGTCGGCGGCGCCAGGGCAGGAACATCATGGCAGAAGAGTGTGAAGAAGCAAAGCTGTTCAATTGCTGGGCAGCAAAGTGAGGAAACAGAGAGCCTGGACGTAGGCTGCAGGGACCTCCATGACACCCCCCCCCCATGCCCTCACTGTGCTTTAATCTGGGCAGCTTCCACGCCAGCCAGGTTGGCACAGTTGAGCCACTGCACCACTGTCCCATGGGTATTTATTGGGTAGTCCTATGTGTCAGGGCAAATGAAAGTAAAAAAAGAAGGGGTGTTGTGAAGATCACAAACTTGAGCCAAGAGGTGTCTCTGTGAAGGAAGGAGTGAGTCTGCCTTAAGAAACTAGAGATAGCTTACAGAGGTGACACTTGCAGTGGCTGAGCTACTTAGGGGAAAGGTGGTCTGGGAGGGGGCATGAGGGACACAGAGCCTGGATGGTGGAGATGGAACCTGGCGGGCAGGCCTGGGCCTGCCAGCGGGTGCCTGCGTGCTCCGCTAAGGAATCTGGCTGCAGCCGCTCCCTGTGTATACGTCCAGGACGGTCAGAACTGCAACGGGCTTGGGAACGGGTGCACGCGGTCATGGTGCAGTCGAGTGAGGTGACGGGCCACAGACAGTGCGCTGGCCATTTAGGAAACAAAATGCTTCCATAGGGATTTGATTTGCCAAGGGAGATATTCTGAAGAGTATATGTATCTGAGTCCAAACATCAGGGTGCCTCTGTGGTAGAGCACAGAGGAGCAGCTTTTGTATGTGCGCATGCGTGTGTGCATTTGTGTGTGTCTTTTTGAGACAGGGTCTCAGTATGCAGTTCAGGCTGGCCTCAAGCTCAGTGTGTGGCCTAGGCTGGCCTCGAGCTCACAGTGACCCCCCTCCCTCGGCCTCCTGAGTGCCGGGATTACAGAGGTGCACCACATGCCTGGCTGGAAGAGCAGATTTTTCATGATTTTCTTTCTCCATTAGAATACTTAGTGTTAGGCCTGGTTCTTCTAGGTTTGTATCAGACATTTTTAAATTTATTTATTTTTTTACAAATACACTGACTACCAGAGAGCCAACCGCCTGTGAATTAACCACCAGACCAGGAGCTTGCCTTTAAAAGCAGCCTGTCACCCACCTCTCCTTGCTGTCCCCTGACTTTCCAGAGCGCCACCAAAATTCCAAGGTTTCTTTCTGTTTCCTTGAGTTGATGCTGCCAATCTGCTGACCTGTGGCCCTACCTCCCTTTCAGAGTCTGGAGCCCCTGCCAGCCAGTGGGCCTGATTTTGGAGGATTAGGCGAAGAAGCTGAATTCCTTGAAGTTGAACCTGAAGCTAAACAGGAAATTCTGGAAAACAAAGATGTGAGTTTTTGGTTCCAGATCCTTATACGCTTACTTGTAGGGGCGTCACGCCCGTGAGCCACTGGTGAGCCGTGTGCCACTTAACCTGCCACCAGCTGCACCTTCAGCTGGGTAGCTGCTGGCTTCTAAGAAGATTGCTCCTAGCTTTAGTCAGTTTCACGGGGACAGTTCAGGCAAATACATTCTTTTTTTTTTAGCATTTAGAACAGGGTCTACAGGTTCTTCCTACACATATTGGGCTTGTAGTGATGCTCCTGTTTCAGCCCCCCAAGTGCTGGGATTACAGGTGCACATCACCATGCCCAGTCTCAGTGCACCCCAGGGGCAGGGCCAGCATGGCATGTGGAGCCGGGGATTGAACCCTGGTCCCTGCGTCTGCCTAAGCAGGCGCCTTAATCTGCTGAGCTATCTGGCTGGCACTTTTGTGTTTGTTCTATTTTAAATTCAAAGATAGACTCAGACTGTACTTAAATTTGTACATCTGTTACCTGCTCCCAGAAAAGAGACCCAAGGTGTCTAGTGAAACTTCTGAACTTCTTTTTAAAAGTTGGCTTTTCCTTGAGGCCCCCAGGAAGTGTGGCTCGGGGCTGCCTCCAGGGCTGTGCTGGGAAGGGCAGCCTACTCTTAAGGCCTGCTTGGCTGGGGCTGCCTTGGCCCAGAGAGAGACTGTCTGGTTCACGGGAACACCAAGTGTGGTCATCAAAGCTCAGACGCCTTGACGTTCCTTTTGGGTTCTCGATGGTAGCCTTGCCCGCTGGTCTTTGCCCTGTGTCTCCTGTGATAGCTGGAGTCCCCTTGTCCCCTGCAGGTGGTGGTTCAGCACGTTCATTTTGATGGACTCGGAAGGACTAAGGACGATATCATCATTTGTGAAATCGGAGAGGTTTTTAAGGCCAAGAACCTCATTGAGGTGAGTGCACTGTCTGCCCAGCACCCTTTCCCACTCCCTTCTGGACAACCTGTGATTTTTCTCTCCTGTAACCGCAGGCGCCTGTCCTTGGCCTCCTGCCAGGGGGACCCTCTGTCCCTGGGACATGCACTCGTACTGAGCTGCCATGGCAGGGGAAGAACTGTCTGTCCTGTCATCCCAGCCACCTCCCCCGATGAGTCCCCACCCTTCCCAGCACCTGGCTGAGTGTGATACCATGTGGGGCCGGCCGTCACCCACTGCCCATGTCCTCAGGGCCTCCCCTGTCTGTGGACCAGTCGCCCCCCCCTTCCCACTTGCAGACCAGGTCCTCCTGTCCCTTTGCCCTGGGGGCTGCTCAGACTGTGGCTAGGCAGAGGTCACCTACAGTGTCCTTGTGGCCCTGGCCAGCTGGCTCCTTTCTGTCCGCTCTAACTTGACCTTTAAGCAGCATTTGGCACCGTGAGCCATTCCCTCTCCAAAAAAAAAAAAGAGAGAGAGAAAATGTCAGTTTTTATTTTTAAAAGATTGAAGTTGAACAGAAGAGCGATCAACAAATCAGCAGGTGCAGAGTGCTGAAAGGGCCCACGTGTTCTCGCAGCGGCCCTGTCGGGTGTCCCCTCGGGGGAGCACAGCAGCCGGAGCGCTGTCCTTCCCCGAGCCCTCCCTGCTCCTTTCACACACCTATCAGAGCAGTGCACACCAGCGCGCTGGCCGCACGGGGCCTCGGCCTGTGTCGATGTTACTGTTTTGCTTCTGTGGAGGACGCAGGGTTAAACACCCTGGTGTGTTTCCATTGCACGTGGCATTACACGCGCAGGACAAGTTCTTGCCAGTCTGTTAGGTGAGAAATGCTTTTAATTAGAAATGTTTTCATCTGCCTGCATTTAGTGACGAGTGAGAGCCAGCAGTTCGGCCGTTCATCCATCCCCCTCGGGAAGTACCTGCTGCTATCCTGTCCTCTTGCGCATTTTTTACGCTTTGTTGATAGACATAAAGATTGCATGTTGAAGAACAGGTCCCTTTGTGATCCATGTTGAGTTTTTCCCACAGCTACTTATCTTTGGAATGTCCCTGTCCTTCCTTTCCTTCCATACTTTCTCTTCCCTGCTGCTTTCTGTCTTGTCACAGTTGCTCTGAGACTCCCAGTCAGCGTCCCACCCCCCACCCCCACCCAAGCACCCTCAGGCGAGGCTGTCACCTGGTGAGTAGCTGTTTCTGGTCAGCACTGCTGTGTGGCGTTGTGGCCCTGACTGCACACCTGCCACACAGCGTGACCTTTTGGTGTCATCAGGTGTTCCGTGCTTAGGGTCTGCAGGCATCATCTTTCCACCCTGCCCTGCCTGTCCTCTTGCCTTTCTCTGCCCCCTGTCTAGTGGCACTGGTCTCCAGGTGCCGGCCCAGAGCTGAGGTCATCATAGCTTCCTTCTGATGTGCCCCGCTGAGTCAGCTGGTGAGCGTGGCCTTAGCCCTTGCTGGTGAGCTGTCTGGGGTCTGGCCACCTCCCCCCACCCCGGGGCTGGTCTGGACCAGCCTCTGTCCCAGCTCCCGAGTTCTGCTCGGGAGCCTTGTGCTGCTGGGCCTGCTCTCCTCCCCATCTGAGCCTGGCCGTCCCGGTCCACCCGAAGGGCCTGCTGCTTCTCATGGAGATCCCGCCTGGACTCAGCCTGCTGAGCGCGCCACAGTTGTCCCCTTCTTCTGCAGGAGTGAAGCCTCCACTCCGGTCACTACACAAGTCCTCGCACACTCATCCCCTCACTCTTATAGTCGTCTTTCCAGCAGCATGTCCTCCTGGCATCAGAAGGGCTGCTCGTGCCACTGAAGAGGGGGCGGGAAGTTGAGAGTGGTGAAATGGCCAGTGAATTGAACCAGAATAAAGATGTACACAGCCATGCATGTGTGTACACACACACGCACGCACACACGCACCCCTTCCACCAGGGAAAGCCACGGTTCTGTCCTGACGGTGATCCCTGAAACATCGTCATCCACTTCCTGTATGCAGTATCCATGTCTGGGTTTTCCTGTGCACTCGCCAACCCCAGGCTGGCTGTGATTCTTTTTTCTTTGCTCGTTTTTCCTTTTGAGACAGGGTCTTGCTGTGTAGTTCAGGCTGGCCTGGAGCTCAGGGCTGGTCTCAAGTTTAAACTTGCAATGATCCTTCTGCCTTAGCCTCTGGAATTCTGGGATTACAGGTGTGCGCCACCATGCCTGGCCCTGGCTGTAACTCTGGTTTGTTTGTTTTTTTTTTTTTTCCTCTCTTATTTTCTTTTTTGGTACCAGGAACCGAACTCAGGGGCTTGTGCTTGCCAGGCAAGCGCTGTGCCACCGAGCTGCACCCCTGACCCCCGAGTGGGGTTTTGTTGTCCGCCCCCCCCCATGCTGTCTCTGTTCTTTGCGTGGCTGGTCTTGGGCTCTCTCTTCCCAGTGCTGAGAGATGTAGCACCACACCAGCCTGGAATCGTGGCCTCCCTGTGCTTCCGTGTCTATGAAGATCTCATCCTCTGTCTCCTTCCCTCTTCCAGGTCATGCGGAAATCTCATGAAGCCCGTGAAAAGTTGCTCCGTCTCGGGATCTTTAGACAAGTAGACGTGTTGATTGATACATGTCAAGGTACCGTGTGGGTGGGTGGCATCTCTGTGAGTCTCCGTCCTCCGCCAGTCTCCAGAGCAGCAGTGGGCTGACACACACCGGTCTCTCAGACGGGCCCTGGAAGGATGTCGCATTGTGTGCTGGGCTGAGGGAGGAGTGCTGACTGGGACCACATGAGTCCTAGGTGACTCCTGCAGGAGGGAGCAAGGCTTCCCAGCCCCGTGGCCGCCCGCATGGACCCCTGCCAGGTGCCACCTAAATGTGCACTTTGGAAAGAGGGAATCAGGTTCAGTTAGCTCTGCTCATCTGTGGTGTGCTGCGTGACAGTGGCCAAGCTGCTCCGCTCGGCTCAGCAGCTACTGTCGCCCTGAGCTGGGCCTGGAGAGGTAGCAGCAAGCAGGAGTCACCCAGCGGGTGAGCCAGGCCAGGGCACTGCTGGTAGGGAAGGAGAGCGCTCGGGTGTGCCTGTGTGAGGCTGTGGCAGGCTGTTAAGTCCAGCGCAGGTCCCTCAGGTGCCATAGGTAAATCACAGAGGGGGAACCAGGGCTCGGAGAAGTGGAAGGAACCTGCCCCACGTCCAGCCAGTGAGTGATGTGGAGCCAGCACCTCACTCAGCCCCACAATGGGGGTGCGAGCTGTGCTGGCCTTTGGCCTCGGTTCGCTCTCTCCCAGTGGGTGGCTGGACCTTGGCACCCACCAGCGCCCCTCTACCCTGGCTCCTCTGTGACAGGGCAAGCGCACTGACACACCCACACCCACATCATGCACTACATCAGCTGATAATGGTGCACAGGTCCATCAGCACCCATGCGAATGCGAGCTGGGTGAGCGGGAAGTGTGGAGCAGCTGGGGCTTCGTGCACGCTCTGTGCCTCCTGCTGTACCTTCCTGTCCACCCAGAACTGCTTTAAAAAAATAAATCTGTCCTGGACCACTGACCCCACGTCTCTGGGTGCCAAGGGCGGGCATCGGTGGCAGCCACCATGGGCCACAGACGGGCCATCTCGCTACACTGTCGCGCACACTGCAGCCAGAGGACCAGCCTGAATTCAGGCACGGATCACTCCCTGCCCTGAGGAAGGACCTTGCAGCATAGTGGCTTAATGAGGAATTCTGTGATTTTTCTTCTCTGCTTTCTAATGTCCGCATGTGGTTCAAGGACCTTGTAGTGTGGGTGAATGGATCCTTTTAGCAGAGCTGCCGCTGTCTAACTGTGGCAATAGGTGCCATCTGGGGACCTACGAATTCTGCCACAGAAACGAGCAACAGGATTTTTAGGGTAGAGGTGTAATTTGATTTTGTGTGGGAGTCTTTTTAGACCTTAAAATAGATGACATATTTTCCCAGGGAGCTTGTAAAATAAAATGAACCTTCCAATTGTTTTTTGTCTATTTTTAGCCATACACCCCAAAAGGAAAACATTTTCCTGCTGTCTTTTTGTTTGATCTTGTTGATGTCCTCAGGTGACGATGCACTTCCCAATGGTCTCGATGTCACCTTTGAAGTGACTGAGCTGAGGAGGGTGACGGGCAGCTACAACACCATGGTCGGGAACAATGAAGGCAGCATGGTAAGGCGGAGGGTTCCTTGCCCGTGTTGGGGTTCAGAGCATGAGCTGAGGAACGTGGTTGCCTCCTCAGCACCGACGCTTGCCTCAAACTGTTCCCTGCTTTGCCTTTCTTAGGCTGTTATTTGGTTTCTCTTTAAACTCCTAAGCTGAAGAGAATGTATTTTATAAAGCTTCTCTTTTTTTTAATGTATTCAGTACAGGGTCTGCAGGGTCTCACTAAGTAGACAGGACTCGTACTGACCCTCCTGTGTTCAGCCTCCCAAGAGCGGGGACTACAGGTGCGCGCCACCACGCCCAATCTCAGTCGTTGCCTAAGCAGGTGCTTTAGTCCTCTCAGCTATCTGGCCCTCTGAGAATGTATTTTTAAATTATTTGATATCAATCACTATATGCCTGTGTTTTTTGTGTTTTGGATTTTTAAAATGTGTTTAGTTCAGAGTCTACAGGGTCCCACTACACAGATTGGACTCGTAGTGATTCTCCTGTTTTCAGCCTCCCAAGTGCTGGGATTACAGGTGCGCTATACCATGCCCAGATATCAAATGCTATGATGAAAAGTGTTCTTAGTAAAAGTAGGTCCTCTTCAGAATTCTTTAAACTCCACATCTTCAGACTTTATGTCCTGGACAGTTGCGGCTGGCAGGGTCACCTGACTGCATGGTGACCGGCTCTGTGCGCAGCACTCTCTGAAGAGGGAAGGCGGCATCTGTTGGCGGTCCCTTCGCAGGCTGAGTTTGTTGTCCTCTTAAGTCCCCGCTCCTCCCATTTAGACCCCTGCTTTTCTTTCTTCCTCTCTCAGGTCCTCGGCCTCAAGCTCCCCAACCTGCTAGGCCGAGCAGAAAAAGTGACTTTTCAGTTTTCCTACGGAACCAAAGAAACATCATACGGCCTGTCCTTCTTCAAACCGCGGCCAGGAAACTTCGAGAGAAAGTAGGAAGGCTGGCAGATGGCTGCATGCAGTGGCGGGCGTGACAGGGTGGCTAGCAAGCGCACAGGGCCAGTGGGCAGTCGCCGCCTCACAGCGTGCCTGGCCCCTGGCTCTGCATCGTTGGTAACACATGTGCCGTCTGTCCCATTGTCTCCTAGTTTCTCCGTGAACCTGTACAAAGTCACTGGACAGTTCCCGTGGAGCTCGCTGCGGGAGACAGACCGAGGAGTGTCTGCCGAGTACAGCGTACGTCCTCCCAGTATCCCCGGTTTCCGAGTGGCACAGGGAGGCGGGGAGCACAGGCCTCTGTCTGCACAGGCTGTGTCCTGGTACCCCAAGAGCGGCTGCTTCTGGGGCCAATGCCTTCCTGCCTTCCTGTCTGACATGGATGGGAGAGGGGACTGGGCAGTGCTGGCAGGGGCAGGCCGGTCCCCTGGTGTCCTCACAGCGTGTGTGGAGATGTTGCCCATGTTCCTGAGTGGCAGTGTCTGTTCCTTAGGAGACAATTACGAGCGCCAGGGCAGTGCTCAGTGCCTTGCAGGTGCTGACATGAGCATGCGCCCCTAGTTCTTACCCTGTAAGCATGACAGTGTTTTGGTGTCCCCAACCCACAGTGGCCTTGGGGACACAGAGCATAGTGGGGGTGGCCTCAGGGTTGAGGGTGACCTGGCTTCCTTGTCTCATGAATTGTCTGTGTGGATCCCAGAGCTACCTACCAGGCAGTGTCACTCGCTGTCCAGAGGGAACACAGGCGTGTCTCTGGGGCAGGCTGGCCAGGCTCTGGGGACACAGGCCAGGTCCCCTTCCCTGCAGTGTGCAGTGTGGTCTCATCGGCCCTCTGTGGCTGAGGCAGTTGTCTGATTCCCAGTTAGCGTCCCTTGGGGCTCGCTCTGCAGAGAGCCGGCAGCTGCTGCTCAGGGTCCCGTGGCCCCTCGCAGGTGCTGGCGCTGGTGCAGCTGCTCCTTCGGCCCGGTTCCCCTCCTTACCCTTTTTTCTTCATCCTCCCCCTGCCTGCTCCCTCTCACCCTTTCTCCTCAACATTTAAACATTTTATCTACATCCTCAGGGAGCTCGGGCCAGAGGAGACTGCAAGTTCAAGGCCAGCCCGGGTAACTCAGACTGCATCTCAAAATTAAAAAACAGGGGCTGGGGAGATAGCTCAGTAGAATAAGCGCTTGCCTGGCAAGTACAAGGGCCTGAGTTCAATCCCCAGTTCTGCCAAAATAAAAATTAAAAAACAGAAGAGCTGGCAATCGCTTAGCGGCAGAGCACCTTCCTAGCGTGCGCAGCTGAGTTCCATCCCTGGCCACCACCACCCCCATTCCGTAAGCCACTGAATTAGCTAACTGCTTCCTGAGTGCCTGTGTCCCACGTGTGCCCTTGCAGTTCCCCGTGTGGAGGACCAGCCACACTGTCAAGTGGGAGGGCGTGTGGCGGGAGCTGGGCTGCCTCTCCAGGACCGCGTCCTTCGCTGTGCGCAAAGAAAGCGGACACTCGCTGAAATCGTCTCTCTCGGTAGGCACCCCAACCCCCCAGGGAGGCGTTGGGCTGGGCGGAGAGCTGGCGGGGCTGCCGCAGAGACAGCGACCGGGGTCTGTGACACACAGCCACTGCCTGCATGTGTCCCCAGATCGCACAGTGGGAAGTGGAGCCCACTGTGGCATTGTGGTTTTCAGACCCAACTAGAAAGCGACTGAGTTGGCCTTGGCTGCGGTGCAGGGCTGGTCCAGGCACTGGGGGGCCCTGGTGCCATATCCTCAAGTGTGGCACAGTGGCTGCCGCGCCCTCTGGGGACAGTGGATGATGTGCTGCCTTGCCCCCAGCTTTGCGAGGACGTGGCATTGGTTTATAAAGCTGCGGGAGGTACAGGTACCCACGACTCTCTTGCAGCACGCCATGGTCATTGACTCTCGGAATTCTTCCATCCTGCCCAAAAGAGGGGCTTTGCTGAAGGTGAACCAGGTAGGGTTCTTTCATTGTCACCTTGACAGGGCCAGGGGACAGAGATGGTGACCCCAGGGGTGGCAATGATGTGGGCCATTCATGTTGTTGATGTTACCGTCCCCTATAATGGTCACATGCTCTCAGGGCTGGGGGTGAAGTTTGGGAGTAAGCGCTGCCCTGGGTGGGTGAGGCCCTGGCTTCAGTGGCGGGGCCTGATCCCCAGTGGGGGGGGACCCAGGGTGGACCCAGGGGTCAGGAACCTGAGCCTGGGGTCTGTCCAGTCTTCACTTTAGAGGAGCAGCCAGAGGCCAGATGTTTCTGGAGATAGCAGCCCTCTGAGGGGTCAGGTAGCTCCTGGCACCAGCCATCCCACCAGCCACATTGCCCACACTGCGTGGTTCTCCACATTAGGATTCGGTTACGCGGTGGTCCTCTGTCCCTGCCCACGCCCTTGTGCCCTGTATGGCAATTAGGAACGTCCTACCGCCTTCTTTAAAAAGTATAAGGTACCCAAATCCTAACTAGAAACATGACCCACCCCCACCCGCGCCCTTCGCTGCCCGTGACCCTCTGGTCTTCCCACAGGAGCTGGCAGGCTACACAGGCGGGGACGTGAGCTTCCTAAAGGAGGACTTTGAGCTGCAGGTGAACAAGCAGCTGCTGTTGGATTCGGTGAGTACCCACGGGGTCCCACCACCTTTGTTTCCCCTGCTGTGCCTTCCTGCTTGGAAACCTTGTGCCCCAAGGTGGGGTGCAGCCCCAAAGCTGTAGCACCATGTCTTCTATGTGAGCTGGCACCAAGGCTCTGGGGAGAGACGGTTACTGTTTGCTTCTAAAAAGAGCCCACTAGACCCCACAGAGTCTCCTCCATCCCCCCTCGGGATGCCTGGAGGAAGGGCTGGACTTGGGAAGTTTCCTCTGAGGTGTTGCTCCCCGGGAGATCTGACCTTCCTCTGCCAGGCCCAGGGTTCGGGAGCCTCTGGGGTATTTTGTAATTTTTGATCAGTTTGTGGGTTTCGGCTGGCTAGGGGGCTCGAGCATGCCTGGCTGTGCACCACGCCCCACCCCCTCACCCTGCCTTGTAAGGAGGCAGCCCAGCCCGCTCATTTCAGCCTCGTGGCCTCTGCCCTGTCCCCCGGGCCCCAGTTCCTTCCTTTCCCCTGTCAGCATCACCCAGACGCCAGCACGGGCCGCTAAGACCCTTCCACCAGAGCTCTTCCAGTCCCTTCCACATGGGCCACGCTGCTGCTCACCCGTGGCCTCGACGCCATTGTTCTGTAACTGTGAAGTCCCCTCTGGCCGCCACCTTGTGGTGTGATTCCCCCCCAACCCCCCCAGCCCCTCGCTCTCTCCACCTTGCAGCTTGTGTGCTCTGCAGCGTGTCCCCATCCTGGTCCTGCTGGCTGTGTCCTCCGTGTGCCTGACAGACGCCACCGGTGGGGGGTCTCAAACCCAGCCTGAGCTGGGGAAGCTGAGGCAGGAGTTCTGCAGACACAGGGCCAACCTGGGCAACTTAGCAAAGCCCATCACAAAAGAAAAGAAAGAGGGGCTGGGGTCACAGTTCATGGCTTCCTGGGTCGGTCCCCAGGATCCCAAAGAGTAAAGCGAACCACCTCTGAGGCGCCCTCCTAGCCTTCACACCCCTGCCAGTGCAGCAGCACAGCCTGGCCCACAGGGGACCTGCGCGAAGCCTGAGGCCGAGTGGCCTTCCTTCCGTGGCCTTCCTTCTGCCCCGGCAGCAGCCCACAGAGCCTGCTCCACAGGAAGGGTTGGCGCAGAATCTCCCGACGCCCTGAGTGCTGTGAGTGTGCTGTGGTGCCGGGACGCTGCCGTCACCCCAAGCCCTGTCAGCCCAGTCGGGACCGTGTGTCACCTGCTCTGCTCACGCTGCCTCGGGTTCCTTTCCTCTGTAGTTCTTCCACGTGAAGCTTCTTACAAGACAGCTCTGAAGGCCGGAGGACAGTGCTGGTGGGCCTCTTAGAGCCTTCAGTGATACAAAGAGCTGACAGCGGCACGTAGGCCGTGGTATCGCCACTTCTGCCCTAGGAATTCTCAAGGCAGAGAGGACAGGAGGTGCACATGTGCCTGGGCAGAAAAGCTGCTGAGAGGGGGCCGCGACTGAGGGTTCACGCTGCTGACTGGACCCAGGCTCTGCCCAGAGTCACTGACTACGCCATGCAGACGCAGGGGTGCTGCTGCCCTGGGCTTCAGCCAGCCCAAGTGCTGTGTCCCCATCCTCCTGCATTTCCAGTCGAGGCCTGCAAGGTGCAGGACCCTGGGCCCAGTGTCTTTCCCTTTTGTCTCAGTTACTCTTCTCTCCTTGCTGGGACAAATAGCTGACACTCAAAATGAAGGAAAGAAAGGTTTATTTAGCTCACAGGTACTGGAGGTTTCAGTCCATGCTCAGCTGGCTCCAAGGCAGAGAGCACAAGGCAGAGGGCAGCCTTTCATGGCAGCAGCCAAGAGCAGAGAGAGCCCAAGGGAGTAGCTGCAGCTGGTCAGCTTGCCAGCCTCTCAGGCCTCCTTCAGTTGTAACGCAGATTACCTGCCCCAGGGCAGGTGCAGCATCCACACCCACAGTAATCAAGCACAAACTGCAGAAGCCACCCCATGGCTGCAGGAGGCTTCGGGGGGACAACTAGACCCAAACCACAGGCCCGTGCAGCAGGCCAGCCCTCGCTCATCGCTGGGTGGAAGCTGCCCGGCTCACGGCGGAACTGGGCCTGGCTGTAGTGCTGTGTGCAGGCCGAGGCCGCCCATGTTGAGTCCTC